GCAAAAGAAAAGCACGATTTTGTGAATTTTTTTCCGTCTTGAAAATTTATCTTTTAAGTTGATTGATTGATTGATTGTGTATTGTTTAACGTCCCTCTTTTAAGTTGAGGTTTTTTTTAGTTTTACATTTTACTGAAATTTTATTTTTTTTTAAAATCGTGGAACGAACTTTCTTTACACTCCGTATTAGATACGCTGATCGGGGAGGTCATTTATCAAATGATTCGATACGCGAGAGCATGTTCCCCTTGTTAACAATTTATAAAATGAGGTAAACTATTGACAAACAAGAACATCAGCAGTCTCGATTAAAGTCATAATTTCGTAAGTTCTATGGTCGATACAATGACCTAGTCAGCAAATACAATTTAAAATTGTGTCAAATGCTGACTGAAGTTTTTCAAATTTTACAAATTTTTAATCCATTATTTATACACTAATTTACGACCAATTTATCCGTTATTTCCCGATCATGACAAGAATCACACGGCAGATGTGTCCGGTCAGCATGGAATGCTCATTACTCCATGGCACTTAATCCCACCTCTGATGTTTTTGAGGTCCCTGTTTGCTCTGCTCCTGTTTTCTTATATGGAGTTTTGATCTGTTCATTATCTCCATATATTTCATTTTACTTAACTTTAAATTTCGGAGAACCGACATAAAAACAAAAACTTATATTACATAATCAAGGAATAATAAATGATTTTAATCAAATGCGGTTTAAAAGTAGTCTTTCTTGGCCAATAACTTTTCACATAGGCAAACAAAGATTTAAATTATTAAATGACTAAATATATTGAATACATATCGTATTACAGATAAGGAAACGTAATAGGATTCTTCTTCTTAAAAAATCTAAAGGAGTGTAAGTTAAGGAAGGTATCACATGACTACTAAGTCTCAATAATGATACATGTACCAGCTCTGTTATTATAAGTGGTGGAGAATTCGATCGTTAATTAAATCACTTTTAAAGAAACAAATTATGCTGAGATACAACTACATTTTTTAAAATTAAGTTCATCTTCGGCATTTCATTCATTAAGAGACATTATCAACTTTTCATGCAATTACAAATGACACATCTAGTAAAATATACACAATAATAAAACAAAGAACATTAGTTCGATATTTTCAGTATTATTTTTCCTTTGAATTATGTGAAGAATATTTTTTTCCAAAAAAGAAAAATAGCCCACAAATCATTTTAACGAACAATTGATTTTGTTACATTTCCATCCTGTTTTCTATTTTAGCAACTAATTTCCTATATAAAACAGCTGCAAATATTTCCCTTTTTCTAAAATCGATTTCCAACCATTGTTAGCGGCGGCTCTATCACAACCTTTTCAAGTTAATAGGTGCCATGAAAAAGAATGAATATATTTAAATGTTATTCTGCATTTGCAACACAAGGGCTCGGGAAATAATAATAAAAAAACAGCATAAAATTGTGCTAATTCTGATACATATTTAATACTAAAATAAATATTTCAATTTATTGCAGATTTCTAGTAAACATTTAAATAAAAGAAATGAATCATGTAAGAAGACTGATATTGTATCATATGATTGTCTTAACCACCTTGTCAAAGATTTATTGCAGTGCAGTATGTGGAAACAGGTATGCTTTTAATAGCTTTTACTAAAAGTGTGATACACGTATATAAAATAACTAGTATGTATAAATCTTTTGAAAAAGCAAAAACTGGTGCAAAAATCTACATTAAATATTTCCTCTAACATGTTTACAGGTGTTGTCTTAATTTTTACCGAAGTTCACACGGGAGTTGCCTCGGTAAGCACAATAACTTTTGTAATTTCTAAAAGCTGAAAGGAACTTGTTATCTACATTATCGATTTGGTGGTTCAACATATTCAAAAGATATGACAAGTGTTTCATAGAAAAAATCTCAATCAGCAATTAACTTACGATGAGTATGTTTTCTACTCCTAGGAGCTGGATGTGGCTCCCAAGGATCCTTGTTTCACGACCTATCGTTATATTGTTTTAATATCTCTTTTACATGACACCTTATTCTTTCTGTGTTTAAACAGGTGTTCTGCCTACAAATTGCATTGCTTACCTACATTTTTAGCATGTTTACTGTTTTTATCTCGACATTTAATGAAGGGTATAAAGGATTAAATTATATGGTTCCATAAAATTTAACCACTTGACTGAACCCCTTATCTTAAATTTCTATACAATAACGTTTGACATAGACGTAGCTTTTAGGCAATTTAAGGTACTGTTGATTAAAAAAGAATGGAAAATTGGTTATAAAATCTCGAAATATTTTTAATACCATTTTTTAACAGAGTGTCCATTGGGAACTTATTGAATAAACTGCAGTGGTAAATGTGTAGATGGTTTTTATGGAAGATTTTGCAGGTCGAAGTGCTACTGTCCTACAGAAAGGTGTGATGTAAGATATGGATGTCAAATGGAAAGCATGGGTAATTATAATATATATTTACATTGGATGATGTCATTCTTTATATAAGAATGATGATGGAATTGAAATTTAACTTTCAATGACATGCAGTTGGTCACATGATCCGATTTTTCTTGCATATCGATACTCGAAAGCAAACCACGAGCCATTTGGAAAGTTCAGATTGTGACGTCACATGACATCGTAGTTACGTTATGTTGCATTTCCATGACAAAGTCTAAATAGTGTCTATGTTTCCTTTTCACACGAATAAAACATGAAAATATAAAAAGAAGATATCATTTTTAGATTTTCATTGGGAATAACATGACGTCGGTACTTGATAGAATTTGATCACGCAACCGACTTCATGTCATATCCAATAGAATATCTTATTTCTTAAATATTTTTCATTTACGCTGATCAAAATAAGTGAAAATTAACATTTTTTTATTTACAAAGAGGACTTTTAATTGCAAAGTTCTTGAATAATCTACAAAATCACCTACTTTTAACATTTATTTTTATATACTGCTATGTAAACGAAATGAACTTCTTGAGATCTGTATTTACATGTACAACTTTTACATAGAATTGTATTATTTGTGGATTACTGTTTGTTACCCTCTCTTTCTTGTACTTGATCCAACCTTTTTACCCGCTTCATATACTTATATTGTTTAAATTTTTTTTTGACCGATCACTGTTCATTATTTGCACCTTTTACATATTATTATTTTTTCAATATTTTCAATTCAATATGGTAATTGACATTTATGTACTTGTGTTTTTCATTTTAGATGTACGACTCTATATATTATGATAGATAGCTGTTATTCAGGATTTTTTTTCCTTTAAAGAAAAGTATAGAGAGGTTTCTAATGAGTGGACACCCCTGACGTATGCCCTGGTTGGATCTGTAATCACCATGAGTCTAATTGGTCTACTGATTTACCTTAGATCCTGGTAAAGTGGGCAAAATAGAACTATTGAATGATATTCCAATGTGCCTAATACTGGCAGTCTTATTTTAGTAGCTCAATTTATCTATATATGACTGATCAGTATTTAATGTCTTTCCCATAGGTTTTTAAAGTCACCAGGATGTTTTCCTTCTTCCGGTCGGCTTTCTACAGAAGTAACTGGTAAGAATACTGCCTTGTCTTTAAACATTTAAGAAATAAATTCCGAATTTAAATATTTTTAATTATGGATAATTGTAGAAAAAAGGTTGTTCAATGTGAATTCATATCTTAAAGAAAAAATCAGGCTAATAATCAATGTTAAATTAATGAAAAGAGTATATAATGGAACAGTGTAGAGTCATAAAACAAATAAATTTAAACGCTCGCTTTCTATTCCAAGAAACTCAGAGAGAAAGATATGAATCTCACGGAAGCTCATCATCAGTTGGAGCTGACCATGTTGTATCCAGCCCACGTGATCAACCAGACTTAAATACTTACACGGATTTGAGATTTTCCAGAATGTATGACAGCTCTCCTGACTGTGGAGGTGGACCACAACCAACAGCGCCATCTGTCGACTCCATTCCAACTCAAGGCTGTAAAGATCAGAATGACAAAGAAGTGAAAGGCGTTGATGATGATTATGATGATGATGATGTAGATGATGGTGATGATGGTGGTGGTGTTGATGATGTTGATAACAATGAAGTTGATGATGATGCCCCTCGCAAAAGAAAATAAGAGCAATTCTTAAAACATTAAGTATTAAATATCTTGTCTCTAAATGTCTTTCAATTGAGACAAGTCATGTAAAATCGTTTGATCCTTCAAACTATGAA